GGGAGTCTAACTGGGACTCGGGGTGCCTCAGGGCTAGCCATTCCCTGTGCTGAGGCACTCTGTGCCCTGGCGAGTCGGGGAGCAACAAGTGGAGATGGGGGGAGTAGCCAGCCCAGGGCACAAAGCTGCCTGCTTCTACAACTTTGCGCACTGAAGAGCCCCCATGTTGCGGCGCACTGTGCCCCAGCCAACCACATGTGGAGCCCCCAACGCTGAGGCACGCAGAGACAGGGGAGTAGCTAGCCCAAAACTGACTGCTCTCCCATCTCAAGGAGCACGGCATCCCAGCCAGCTGTTCCATGGCTGGTTGGGGCACAGGGTACCCGAGCACAAGGGCTCCATGTGCCTCAGTGCATGGGGCTCTGCAGCACAGCCAACGCGCTAAGGCATGTGGAGACAGGGGAGCAGGCAGCCCTGGCCTGCCTGCTGCTCCATCTATGCATTTGTCCAGGGGCTCGCCACTTTGGCATGGTTCCAGGGTTTGCTTGTTTGCTACCTGTAAATCCCAGTAGCAAATTTTGCCCCAGCACTGCAAATCAGCAGTGCCGAGCATTGACTGATGTGCAACTCGTGGAGTTTGTGGCCCTGCAAAGAGGTCTGCAGCATGCAAACCACATGTGCCTGCACATCTGGATCCAGCCTTGAAGACTAGAGTGTGAGGACTTTCTCCTTGTTCAAAGATTAACAAAGCTAGCAGAAATCAGATTGCATTACTACAACTGTTTACTGGCCTATCATAGGTAGAGATGAACCCAGTGCACATACATCCACATCAAGACAACCACCATCAAATCAGCACCCGCTGATGTAGTCCAACAGAAAAATCAAATTGCTCTCTCTGAATTCTTCATGTCATGAAAGAACCACCAGGAATCAGTAGCAAATTACAACAACCTTGACTGTGCTACATCTGCTCTCAGTAATTCTGTTTTTCCTCCAGAGGTTTTCCTAAGGATTTTTATCAACAGAAGCCATGTCTATATTGGTCTTAAAATGAGGTTTAAAAACAAACACAGTGGAGGCTATCTGTACTCAAGCAGGGTTCTGACACTTTGATTAGTCAGTATGGAAACAGCACAACATTCAGAACCATCATGCTCTGGATCCAACTCCTTTAATTATATGATTCAGTACATGCTATCCACTCAAACTGTAACATAACCCAGCACAGCAACCCTAGAACCTAAAGCAATCTTGCTGAAGTACAGTTTTTAAACCCTTCTGCATGGCTCGCAAGACAGAACCTAAATAGACTAGAAATGATTTGTAAAGAACAAAGCTGCCCAACAATGTTGCTGAAAAGGTGTCTAAACAGATTAAGCCTGGACAAATACAAGACGCCCACAGATGAGCAACCTTTATTAGAATTCAAAAGGTCTCTCCCATCTGTAAAAAGAATGAGTCAGCCAGCTTTCGTACATTATCACCAGACAAAATCGACTGTGAAGACGTGCCCAAAGTAGCTGTATAACTTACATGTTTCCAAGATCCGTTCCTTATCTTTACTTAAAAATTTTCCAGTATTTAGATAAATTAAATAAGATGACGTTAAGGGTGAAACATGTTTTTATATCCAGTCACCTCACCATTTTACCAGAGGAAGAAGAGATTAGTAAGAAAAAGACCCAATTAACTATACCACAAGACTTTAATTTCCCATTTTTTGAAGAGCTTTTACATAAACTAGATATCAGCTTAGTCCACCAAGGCAGGGTCACAAGGTCTATTGTCTTGTAACAACAGATGAAGGAATACCACCCTACAGGTGTTAATTTACAGAGATGGGCTAACTTCAAGTATTAATGATTTGCTTGAGGTTTGAAAAATTCATACATCAAGTACTGTTAGTATCAGATAAACAGACTTTCATGAACAAATGAGGGAAGGGGAAAAAAACAATGTCAAATGCTGAAAAAGCTAAGCTTTATTTTAAATGTTTTCTGTGACTTTTTATTACAAAGAAAACAGAAATTCAAATCAGTGTCGAGATGTCTTCCTACATAGGCATGTAGATCATGCTCATGTCTTTGCTTCCTGCTACGTCTAGCTTTCCCAATCTGCACCATAGTAAAAATAGGCGTGTTGTCTGCTGGAGAACAAGTAGAAATAGCAATAGGTCCTTCTGCGGGTCAACAGCAACAAGAGCTGCTAAGTGCTAACCCTAATTTGCAATGTTAGGGGTTTGTTACCACAGAAGTTTTAAAACTTTAAAATAAAGGTATAAATAACATCACAGGAAACATTTATGTGGGGTGCACTTAATATGCAAGAAGATATCCTAAACATGTGTCAGCATTTGAAAAGTCCATTTACTAAGCTACTAAAACTGAACTATACCTGAATCATAGGTTCTGTGACTTTAATTTTCATCTGGGTGTTGATAATGTTAATATGCTTTACAGAATTATTATAACCAAGTGAATGTTTCTAGTGCAAACTTAAGACCTGAATGAACAACACTGGGATAAGATAAATACCATATTTACCCAAATACAAGATGACTTTGAATTTAAAATAACATTCCCACCCCATAATTATATTCAAGACATGGAAAATGTCTAAGTTTGTTAAAATAGGCCATGTATAGAGTCTAATTTTTGGAAGGTCATCTTAAATTCATCCCCTTCACCACTGCAGGGGGACAAGCAGCAGTGGAGTCAAGTGGCCTGAACCCTGCCCATTGTACCTGCCCCCTCCTCCCCCACAACTTGCTCCCTCTGCTACCTGCTCCCTTGTGCCCACATGCCCTGCGATCTGCTCCTCT